AAATTCACTTGTATAGATACTTCCACGAATCAGAAGGTATTAATTTTGTAAATGAATATCAAATTTATCAGTAGAGCAGAAGAGCACAGGTCTGAGTATAAAGCAGAATGTAATTTTTATGTTTGAGAGTGGAGATTGGCTTTAAAGATGTGGTCTAGACTGGAAATAAGATCTAAACCACGACAACGGTGCTTCATCTGAGGTCACCATGGTAGGAATCAGGCATTATCATTCCAGCTCACCATCACTTGCTGCAACACCATTATGTCAAGACTAGATTTATGATGATCATCTTTGTAGCCCAGAATAATGGTGCAAATAATAACTGTCAGGGGTACAGACGTCTGCAGAGCCAAACTTAAAATCACCATAACCGAATTCAAATATTGTTGCATATTTATAAACAGAACCAAACATTATCGAAGAACCAAAAAGCATCATGGCTCCTGGAAATTGCAGTTGGAAAAGCACAACAGAAGATTCATGCAAGTCAGAAAGTCATTCTTCCTTCGGGGGCTCCTAACACGGCACAGTTATGCTGTGAGGTTTGCAGGAGTTGAAAACAGCTGTTCAGGGTTAGGCTGTCCGATACGACTATTTTATTTCGCAATAGATTCCGATATTGCAGCTTTGAGAATTGACTCATACTGATATCGACTCGTTACAATATCAGCATGAACTATACTTACTTTCATAATCAGTTTTGTGGGATGTGGGATGTTAGGTAAGGCTTGATCAACAACAATAGGTATGAGGAAGACTGACCCATGTGCTATTAACCACTGATTAACTTTAAACGTTTATATCAGCAGGTGAATATCTGAGATTTTAGATGTAAGTTGATATAATCTGATATCTGACCTTTTTTCAAAATCAATATTTAATAATCAGGACATCACCTGGTTCAGAGCTTCATTTCGCTTAATTCATTCAAAAAGGGCATCAGCTAAACTGAAAGAAAAACATGAAAATCAAATGAATACCAGAAACTTCATAATGCAAATATTGAATAATAATAAAAAAAAAAAAAAAAAAAAAATCAAAAACCAACAAACAGTACCTGACATGTTGCCATTCCTTTGTGCATGTTAGTCTTAGACTTAGACAACTTTTATTGTCTCTGTGTATTTGTATAGGAGTGTAAACTAAATTAAAATTTGTTTAGTATAGTTTTTAGACAGCAAATGAACCTTTCTATTCCATGAAATAAAGCATTGATCAAATGTAAAGAATGTGGGAGAAAAAAACATGAACCAAAAAAACGCAATGATATTGATGTTCAGAGCATTAATATGTGGTGCAAATATGCAGTATTTTTGGTTTGGTGGTATCAGTGTGATGCAGAGTCTGGAACTTGATTTGGAGTTTTCAGAGTTTAGTGGGATACAAATACCCTCTTAATTACTTTTTTCAAGACTGCAATAGCAATACATGCAAAACATTGATTAAAGGGATGCAGTTGTGTTCATTCATGAGATAAAAATAATGAAATAAAAAAAGTGATTTCTTTGCTCATAGTCACTACAGTTCTAACAAATCAACTAGGATGGCCCCAAATTATTATTAAAAGTAGTTCATCTTTTGATGTAATCCTTATCTTCCTTATTTATATTTATGCAATTTCTATGATGCTTGAGATTTTATTCTTAATTTTGTCTGTTTTTGTACAATTCTTAATGTTAAAGAATCCAAGTTATTCCATTTGTTTATTGTTCTTCATCACAGATAGATTTTTTTGAACATTGCTCTAGTTTTTCGAACCAAAAACTATAAACCAATAAACTTTTTTCTATAAATTCATGGCATACTAGTTTATTTAACAACACTGGGTGGTCTCTGCAGAATGTATTAGTTCAATTTATTATTATTATTATTATTTTATTTTATTTATTTATTTATTAATTTATTTATTTTATTATTATTTTTATTTTTATTTTTTTTATTCAATCTCTAACATTATGCTCTCTCTGCTTTTTTCTCATAGTAGCTTTGCCTCGTCTGTTCTTGTTTGGCTGTGACTCCATCCTGGACAGAATATCATCTGTGCTGCTGCCATCAACACCTTTGTAGATGTTGGAGATCGGCCTTTTTTTCAATGTAGTCCTGTTTCTCTGACTGTGTCTGGCTGGATGTGCTCTCTTCATCCTTTGGCATGGGAGGTGGATCGGAGCTCGCCTGCTTGGTTGTGTGTTTCCTGGACGGGGCCGCCTTTTACAGCTGCTTTTTGTATCTCTGCTTCTGTCT